CTGCTCTTATTGCAGCATGCCTTTGGTATGGCCAGCAGTAAAAGTTGAGAAGTAGCAACATTGGCACTGCTCAGGAAGGATCTCATGCTGATCACATTGACGCTGTCAGAAGATTGGAAGGCACCTCCATCCCCATGAAGGAGCATGGGTAGGTAAAGGCTCCTGTCTTCCTGAGATGGCATGGTACCAGCAACAGGTGGCCAATAAAGGCTTTGACAAGAACAGCTGCATCACTTCACCAAAAATAATGTGGAACAAAGAATCATCACTGATTGGATTCCCCACCAACTTTGGGTCTTCAGGAGGGTGCTCAGACCAAAAACTAGCAAGCTTTGAAAAGCCTGCAGCCACTTCATGCCCTTCCAGCCATGAAAACCACTCATGTGGCAAAAACAGGCCCACCTCTTTGTCTTTGACACTCCAGCCCTCTTGGTTTTTGACCAACACTGGGGCCTCAACCCAGTATGGCTCAGGCAGAGTGATGCTATCTGACTTGCAAAACCTCAAAGCCATTTGCTCTGCCACATGGTTGTGTGACCTACCATAATTGCCCATGGAAGCAATCTCCTTGATGTCACTGGCATTTACACCAGTCTTTGTAGCTGCAAGAGCTATGCTCTGGATGGTAGGGCCCTGGCATGAGACAACACAAATGATGTCAATGATTGTGTGGATTTGCACAACTCATTCTCATTGCAGCCAGGGCACAGACATGCCAGATGCAAATTGCTCCAAAAGGGAGAGCCCAAGAGGAGAATATTCTTCATCATTGGCTGGGGCAGGCTCAGCTTCATATTTCTTTCTTTTCCACTTGGCCATGAAAAGCCCTTGCCCAGGGCCTTCAAAACACTGAGCCCTTGCACAGGACCCATCCACCACAGTTTTTGAACCAGAGAAACTCAAGCTGAAAAAACCAAGCTTGTACCAGACCTTCATGAATTATTACACAACTTGGTGGGGCATGGTCAGCATAGTCTCTTTTTGGCAACATGCTGTGCATGTGTCACTGGAGACAGCCCTTTGGCAGGACCATAAGTTGGTCCCTTGTCAGGAACAACAGGTATGACATAAAGCCCTTGTGCAGGGCCTTGTTTCTTCAAAAACCTTTCACAGGTTCTTTGCTTTTTTGATGGCCAGTGCGCAGTCAAAGAGTTTTTCTTTTGCAACTTCCACTGTTGGCTTTTTTTTGAGCAGCACTTTCAAGGCAGCTTCAGACTCCTTCAAGTATGCTGCCTTCTTTGAGCCAACTTCACCCTTGACTTTTTCAACCAGTTTCAGCATCTTGCTGATCCTGGCCTTGGCCTCTGTGCCCCCTTTGCCACCAATCTGAGACAACTTTTCAGCTTCCTGCTCAGCATCAAAGACATTGTTCTTGTCTAGTTTGCTGTCCTTTTCATCAGTCTCAGGAGCTGAAGCTTCATCATCAACCCCCTTCTTGTCTTCAATTGCCAATGGTCTTCTCCTCTTTCCAGGCACCACTGCCTCCAATGCCTCATTTGCAGTATTGTGGGACTCACTGGGCAGGACTTGCCCCTTGATCTTCATCCAGCTGATGGCCTCCTGCTTGCCACCTGATTGAGCTTTGTGCTCATGGGTGGTGAGCTCTTCATCCCAGGCCACTTCTGTTCTGAGCTTAAACTGCCACTCTTCTGAATCCAGTGGATCTCTTTGAACTTGGATAGACCCCTTGTTCACCTGGGCAAATTCAATTTGCAAGTGAGTTGCAAGAACTTGTCATCCATAGAATTCAGGCCAGGAACTCTTCGCATGGCCTCTTGAAGGCCAAATCTCTGCAGGATGACATTGAATGGCACCCATTCAGAACTGCTCCTGTTGCCTCAATGTGGGCTGTGAATGAAATGATACCAAAAATACCAGCAAGAAGAGAAAATGACAGGCCCACCTACACAAGGTGCATCCAAGATACCACTGCTCTGGCTCCAAGTGACCTTCTCTTTCTGCCAAGCAGTGCTGTTCTTGAGGTTTGTCCCTTCATTGAGGAAAATGCCCAGCAGCTTTTTCTTCATGGGGTCTGAATTCTTGCCTTTGCAGACAGAATTCCACATGGCTGTGGTATCTTCATCCTTGAGGGCATCCCTGGCTCTGCTGAACCTCTGCCATAGTGCCTGCCTCTGGGCATCACTGAGCTGGTCCAGGAACTGTGTCACATTCTGCTGCTTGCTCTTCGCAAAGAGCTCCATCTTCTCCTCCAAAGACATTGGAGTGTCTGGCTTTGAGGCAGGCCTCTTGTATGGTGCTGATTTGGCTTTTGGCACCTTCTTGTCATCTGCAGCCTCCCCTTTTTTTTTGAGGATGGACTTCATGACTGTGGCCTTTTTTGGCCCCATAGCCCTTGACCAGGACCAGCAAAGTTGGCAGCCCTTGCACAGGACCACCCACCACAATACAACCACTCACAAAATCTACTACTCACAGCTCACAGCCAAAAATTCTGCTGAAAATTGAAACCATCATATTTCATCATGTGATGTCATGTGATGGTTTTGTACCATCATATGATGCTTTTTGGCCATCATATGATGGTTTTTGCCATCATATGATGGTTTTTGCCATCATATGATGTCATGTGATGAGTTATGATGGGTACTGATTTCTGTTGTGGTTTTACTTTTGTGATTGCTGAACTATTTTTAGACTTGTGGCTGGTGGCTGTCAAGTTTCCAGGTTCATGGCTTTGATTTTCACATTTGAAGGTTGGCAAGGGGTGGACAAGGAAAAAGGACTGCAGTGAGCACTGGGCAAACAGTGGAAGTAAAACAGCACTGCACCTTTTTTTTCCACAGGCTTGGTCAGTCAGAAGCCCTTGTCCAGGACCTCCAGCCCTTGTACAGGACCTTTAGGATTTTTTGGGGTTCCTTTTCCTTCTCACTTGCTGCCACTCTTCTTCAGGAGGCTTCTCCCTTTTGTCTCCTGGCAAGGTCCAGGGGCTGTAGTAGGCAAGCCTGTCACAAAGAAAGTTTTCTCTTGAACAAAAAATGATTCAAGCAAGAGTCCTGCAGCCTTCGAGTTGCCTCCAGGCTTGCTGCCTGATTTGGGCCATGGGCCTGGTGCAAAAACTCTGACTCATTATATAATTTGTATTATTGAAAAAACATACACATTTCCATGTTTTGAGAAGGAATGGTGAAGCTACCATGGCCTCCACCTAGTTCTTCTCTCTTCCCTTTGGCCCTCCCTGCTCCTGCTCCCTTTCCTGTTTGAGCTGGAGCTGCTCCTTTTCCCTTCCCCTTTGCCTTTGCACTCTTTGCTGCACTCTCACCCTCACTCTCACTGTAGCTGCTGGTGCTGCTGGTGCTGTTTTTGTCCTTTGCTTGGACCCCTTGACCCTTTCCTTGGGCCTTACCCTGACCCTGCCACTGCCATTGCTGTTGGGCCTGGGGCTGCTGCTGGTGCCATCCTGCAAAAAACAAAACATCACCCAGTAGCAAAGCAATACCTAATAGTAGCAAAGCAGTAGTAGAAAGCAACACACAGTGCTGGTGGTGGAAAGCAATGCTCAGTGGCTGTCCTGGCTGCATGTAGGCCAAGGGCTGGGTCCAAAGGTTCTGCCCCATGGCTGTAGGCCAGGCTGCTTGCCATTGCTGCCACCGCAGGACCCGCATGTTCCCCAGCCCCAGTGCAGCGAGCACACCCATCTTCTTCTGGAAGTTGTCCTGGTTCTCCCTGAGTCGGTTGTACCTGCCCTGCCCCATGGCTGTGAGCCTGACCTCAGGGTCTGTGCTGCTCAGCCCTGTTTCTTTTGCAAGCCTTTCTCTCCTTGCCTTTTCTTTGGCAGATCCATTCTTGTTGGTCTTGCCTTGTCCATGCCAGCTTCCTTGCCAGCTGTCTTTCCAAGACCATTGGCTGGACCA